AGAGAGAGAGAGAGAGAGAGAGAGAGAGAGAGAGAGAGAGAGAGAGAGAGAAGAGCATTTGTAACAAACTGATATGAATACATCAGGCATACAGTTACAACTTCCCTCCACTTTTAAGTCGAGTCCATTCGTCTCACTACTTTTTTCCTTTTACTTCTTTTTTTTTCTTAAATTGTCCATCCCCTTCTACCGCAAGGCGTCGTGGGGAGATGTAATTGTCAAACGTGGTCCAGGTGTTGCTCTTTGGACAGTCCTATTGTATTTTGAAGGGTCTCTTTTTCCTCTTACTGCCAATGGAAAGCCACCTCTCTCGCCCGCCTTCATCCCTTGATACGTTTTGTTATAGAACTGTCCTTCATGGCCAAAAGTATTTCATTTAACCCAATTGGAATAACCCTGACGCTCCACAAAGTGACAACTCGCTACTCTAGAATTACACGGTTCTGTCTGTTCAGTACCTAGTTTTGAGAAATTTAACGTTAAAACGTTTGAGTTTCACAACATGACAAGCTTTTTCGAATGCAATTCTTTGAATATTTTGATAACCACTCCGAATAATCTTACAATTTTGGTGGAGCAGGTAGAACATTTGGTATCTGACCTCATGGTCTTGGAAACTCAAAATGGCCAAAATTGTCACATAAAACTTTGTAATTCTAAGGGAACGAAATAACAACGTCGATTATCCCTTCGGTTAGAACAGTTCGGTCCATGTGTAGGGGTTTTTTGGGTGGGGGGTGGGGGGAAGGAAGTGTTGGACCACCAAGGGATCTTTAACGTGCGCTACTTGCTCACGAGATCTCCGATATTTTTCACTCCTATCCGAGAAGGCTAGGCGTAGATCTTACTAATCATAAGATCAGAGATGTAGCTGAAAGACAGCAGTAAGAAGGAGCCCTGGAGTAGCAGTAGAAAGGCTGCAGAAAGAGCCAGGAGCTCAGAGGAGGGGGCAAAGGAGGTGAGGGGGATGGAAGCAGAAAGTGGAGATGAAAGCAGACGACCGAACATTGTTTGAGAGCAGCAAAGGATGTGAAAGGAGAACATTTTTTAGAAAAAAAATTTCCGTCGCCATCCGGACTCGAACCCGGGATCTATTGAATGAGAAGCGAACACCTTTACATCTAATAATAATAATAAATAATAATTGCATTTATATGTCTAGACCACGAGACCCCCCCCCCCCAACCCACCCCCATGTATAAGTTGAACTCTCATTTAAATATTAAGGTTATTTAAAACGAGGGACGTCCAGATTTAACCCCCCCCCGTCTCTGGTAAGACCGCCAAATGGATGAAGGTCTTTGAAACTCTCTAAAACAACTCAAATTCAAAACACGCCGCTTGGGATTCGATTCAGGGTCAGCCGTTTCTTAGTCGACATGATACCAAGTATGCTATTGGTACACCCTATTAGGACTTACCAGTTGGTAACATCGGTTTAGTGCACAGAGAGCAGCTTCAGTTACAGTAGGAATTCCATAACAATAACATAACAGGGCAAAGTTGCAACATGTTCACATCTTTTTAGAAATCTCTCCTCATATCTCACACCGCCCAATAATTTTTGTTTTGCTTAAATATTTGTTAAAAAGTCGATTTCACGCCATGGTATCGCGTCCCATCTGTGTTCTTCCAACACTTCGCGTGCTTTATCGAAATTCTTTTTTTTCTGTTTCACCCACGCCTGAAACCTTTACTACTAATTTAAAGATGACATGAAAAGATCGAATCTGTCAAATGAGCCACTTAAAGAATACTTCAGCTGAACAACACCAAAACCTAAAGAAATTCTACACGTGCAACCCCCCTCCCCCTAAAAACAACAACAACAACAACAAAAACAACTCGAGCAGTCCCTGGGTTTAACGTTTCAGTTTATAATAAAATATGACATCATAGTTTTTTCGTGTAGTCTTTAGATGTGCACAATCGCCCAGTGGATTAACTTTCACTCTCCCCTGAGGTGGCTGTCTTGTGAAATAAGAGACAGCTTTGTGCGTAGCAGAAATCCTGTAAAACTGAAACGTTAATTTTATAATGAACAGTCCCGATGACCTGATTTTGCCGAAGTTGTTAAGTTCTGCGTCTGTGCTGTACCTCATTCAACGTTGAAATATCACCAGAGATCGTTGAGCTTCGATTTTTCCTCTGTTTTTTAATACATTTTTATAATAATGCAAGCCCTGTTGGTCAGATCAGATTCAATTATTGCAAATTCTTACATATTCTTCCAAGCGATGGAGTCTCATGTTCACCGTGTCAAGAAAATAAAGCATAGCTTTGACTGTTTCTCCATTGATGTAACCCACAACGTGCTGTGTATGCATGTCTCTTTCTGGTCTTGGTTCTTATGGCAGAAGGAGTCCAGTATCTTTCTCTCAATATTGTTTCTCGCTCTACCTCTGTCTCTCTCATTCTTTGCCTCTTTCTAGAAAAATCTAGGTCCCTCTCGTTCACTCAATCTTTCGGTGTCCCCCTTTGTTTCGATCTTTTTTAAAAACCCTCCTACCCCCTTTTCTCTTTCCCATTCCCTCTTTTTACTTCTATTTCCCCCTATTTCTCTTCTAGATTTCAATGAGCTACAACAGCATTGCTTGCGGGCTTGTTTGGGTTTTAGACTGTACATATGTGTGTGTTTCTTTATTTTGGTTCGATTTGATTGTGTTGGTGGTGGGGATGTGCTTAAGCGGG